GAATTTGCAAAAGTAATTTCTATGTCACTAAATTAAAAAACTGTATTGGACTTGGAGAGAGTTCCTTTCTTCACCTGAAAAGGTTTTCTGATTTTTCACTATTTGGGACTGGACTGTCTCCTGATTATGTGATTTCATCTGATTGATCATTTTCTGATATCAGTCCTATACACTATTTATTGTTATATGTCACTGTTTTTACACTTTTTTATCTTATTTTGCATACATTTTATATATTGATTTGGCACTATTTGTATGATTAATATATGCACTTTCTGGAAGGTTTTTAGCGCTATACAGTTATTATTAGAGAATTAAGGTTTTATGGCTTTTGTGTAGCAGCTTTTAACCTGTTGATGCTATTTAGTTTTTGTCCATTAGCAGATTATTTAAATTACTAAATTAAAAAAGCCTGGACTGGGATTCAGTAATTGGCTCTGCAACAACAGACCCAGAGGGTAAGGGGTTGGAGGAGTTCAGTGCAGACAAAGATACAAATCCAGGAAAAAGAGGAAATATGGCATCTAAGGCCAATGGGTGATTACTAAAATCAAAGTTGCTAAATTGCTCCAGACTTTCTGCAGAAACCTGACAATGAGAAGGAGTGTGCGGTAAAGCATAGCCTTAACTGTACTTTTATAGCTGATTGAGAGCACATTTTTCATGAGCATTGTGGAGCCTGGAAAAAAAGAGGTAAATACTGGGTTGGAATAATCAGGTGAAAGTTCTCCATCTCGAGAGAGAATTCTTTATTGTCTAAGATATTACTGGTCAGATAATCCACTACTTGAGTTTTGCCTGTTGAAACATAGAAGACAAGATCCCTGCTTCTGGTACTCTAATGCCTCTGGATATACTGTAATATTTATAATGAGGCAGCTCTTAGTTCTGGGTTTTTTGAAACAGAGACTTGGGTTGTAAAGTGCCACCTGGCTCTGCCAAAGATACTTCACAATGTTTTCCCATTCCAGAGGGCTGGCATCAGCTGGCATTGTAATTATGGTCCGATACACATTTTCCAGGGCATGGCAGTTTTTGAGAAACAACATTTCTAACTAACATCAAAAGGAGCTTCTCATATGATGAAAAATCTTGATACTGTATACTAAACAAGGTCAACTGTTAAGCCTGTGTGGAATGTCTCAAGGTCTAGTGGGGCCTTTTAAACATCATAATAATTGAGACAATGAGTTTATGAACTTCAGGCTCTAAAAAGCTGAAAAATATAGGGGCTGCCTAAGAGACCTCTTCTGAAAATGATAGTTGTGTGGCTACTGTGCTGACAACACTTTGAGCCACCCAACTAGAACAAGTATGAAGATCTGGAAAGTCAGAATTCCTTATATGCATACTGTTCTGGGCCATTGACTCAAAGTATTGAAGCTTGGGGATCAGCATGACAGGTAGGCAAACAGCATTTGCAGAAGGAGAGTTTAACAGTAGCAGCTTCCATGTTCCTATGTACTACAGTATTATCTTTCCTATGGAGACAAACATCCTTCAGTGCTTCCTTGGAGACTGTTTTCAGTTTGCAAGTGAGGACTCAACCTAAGCCCCTTAAACACCAAGCTCTGCCCATTCATTGACCCTAGATTAGCCAGGGCAGTAGTGGTCAACTTATTATAGGGAGCCTCAATTGCGACCCCTGACATCACCAAAGGGCGGCACATAAAATTGAGTGAATGTAATGATACAGAAAGCTGTCAGAGATTGCACCACAGGAGATGGCCAGAGACTACAGACATGCTACAAGATGGCTGTATCTCTCAGGGTGGGCTAAACAAGTGAAATCACTTGATTCCCCCCTAAACAGCATTGATAGAGGAATCTCCACTGTCTGCTTTTCCATTCAGGCAGCTGGTACCTGTGGCTGCCTGAATACCCGAACAGTGACTGCATCTGTTTGGCCAGTTTTAGGATGTCTATAGATAAGGGTGGGCTGCCAAATGTGAAGGCATGATCCAAAAGACCTCAGGCATAGAGTCTTCTAAACGCAAACAGCTATGTTAAGCTCGGTCAAATATTTTGATTTCATTGATGGAGAGAGGAGTGTCAATGGCAGATGTTGCATGGTTTGTTTCTCTCAGGGGGGTTCATTAATGATTAAGGCTGGTTTTCTAACCTGCCCAATAACTAAGTTGGCCACAGCCACGGGTGTCGGCTTACTGAACACAATCGCCGCCATGTGTTTCCTCCAATCATATTGTTTAGTGTGGATGGGAATCACGTGATTTCTCTTGTTCAGCCTTTGTTTAGCCTGGGCTGAAGAAGAGAAATCTACAAGTGTATGGACAACCTAAGGCCAGAAGATTTGACCACCTTTCTGAGGTCTTGCTCACACCATGTCTGTTTAGCTGCATTTTTCTGCCCTGTTCATACAAAACGAGTGGGACAGTATGTGGAAAAACTCAGCTCAGTGGCCATGCCATGAACAAGCCCTTATGAAAAGAGCTTTCCATAAACATACAGTACATCCTTTCTGCAGAAACTGCTGGATCAAACCATCTCTAGTGGAGTCGGGGGAAATCAGATGCTGTTTTCCCAATATATAGGTGTCTGAAAAGTGCATAAAGGTGGTTATAAACATTCAATGTCATTTAATTCAAGTTCAAGTCCTTCCTCTTGGGTGGAGAACTCACAGACATGCAGCCATGGTGTGGCTCAGCCACAATGGGCAACAGTCACTTTAAATCTCTGTGCGGCTTCAGCTCCTACCTGTCCTGATTGACATGACTACGCTCACACTGGTTGTACTGTCTGTGTGTACCTGCCCTAACACTGGTAGATTTTCATACAACCATTCATATAAAAAATGAACATTCAATCAGAGACTTGATGAATGTCTTCCAAATATTTGTTTGATTTTAATATTCAATTTTGGAATTCACTGTTAGGATTTAGTTTGTATCAGAAATACATTTCCATCCTGCTCCTTTGATTTCTTTTGTCACTGCGGTTGAAGACTATTGGCGATTTGATGCCATTGTAGGGTGAGTTCACTTTTGTAACCATGTTTCATGTTACACCTTTATTTCAACCAGGGCCGTCCCTGTGGTATTTATTTGCCCCGCCTGAGGCAATATGTAATTCGGGGGGGGGGTCTGCTGTGCTGACAGGGAACACAATTGTT